CAGCTGCTGGCAATTACATTGACAATATCCCAAAGAAAAGATGGGCCAGGGCGTATTTTGAAATAAACCGGTACCAAATAATGACGACAAATGGCGCCGAATCAATCAATAGCGTATTGAGGGAGGACAGGGAACTTCCTATTGTTGCACTTTTAAAAGCAGTCCAGAACATGACATCAAGATGGCGTGGAAAAAGGCAACAAGAGTTAAGGTCTCTCGATGCGTCAAATCCCCCTGTTACCCCGGCTGTTGAAGCTGAAATGCGCAAGAGATTCAACACTGCCTTGCGCTTGGAATGTCATCAGTTGAATCAATACGAGTTTGAAGTCAAGGGAGTGCACTCTGACCATGTTGTTAACCTTTCAAATAAAACTTGCACCTGCCAAGTGTTTGACAAGGATATGATACCTTGCATGCATGCACTCGCTTGTTCAGAACGCACAGGCATAGATTGTTATAGCCTGTGTAGTAAATTATACACAAAGGAATACATGTATATCGCATACGCGGAAATAATCTACCCCGTGCCACATGAAGATGACTGGGATGCCGATGGAATGGAGCTCTTAGAAGTCAAACCCCCTATATTGAACAAGCAAAGAGGAAGGCCAACAACGAAGAGATTTCCATCGGACGGCGAGGCACGAAAAAAATATAAATTGACATGTTCTGGTTGCCAAGGAAAAGGGCATACAGTACGGACATGCGCAAAGAGACCTCGTAAAGACACATCTACGACAAATGACTTGAATAATACTGATTGCATGTAATTGTGAAAGGTTGGCATTCAATTCTGTACATAAAGATATGCGTGGACGGTTGGGGAAATACGTTGCATTTAGGACGTTTTATATACTCCGTATATTTTAATAATAATAATAATAATAATAATAATAATAATAATAATAATAATAATAATAATTCGATCATTTCGACTACATTTGGAACGTATTCGACTGCATGTTATGCACATAGGAGGGTTTGATTAAGAATAACAATAATAATAATAATAATAATAATAATAATAATAATAATAATAATAATAATAATAATAATAATAATAATAATAATAATAATAATAATAATAATAATAATAATAATAATAATAATAATAATAATATTTAGGGTCTCATCGCTTTTTGGAAGCATTTAAGAGGTATATGGTTTGAATGCATTTAGGACGGTACATGAGTAGTTGGGGAAATTCAAATATGGTTTGAAAGCATTTAAGAGGTTTTGAATGCATTTAGGACGTTTAATGAGTAGTTGGGGAAATACGTTGCATTTAGGACGTTTTTATACTCCGTATATATTAGTGCTATATATACTAGTGCAATTGCTTATCTTTATTCACAAAAACCCCTCTTATAATGCCAAAAACTTTCGTCATATATCTGGAGGAAGAGTATAATGCTCGAAATAAATTTCTTGAAGATCACTTCCCATTGGTACTCCAATAGACTTTAAGTCAACATAACCAAAGGGAAGTGATATTCAAGAAATTTCTTTCCGAGCATTCGCGTCATATTATGCTTTGAACTACGTATTCAACTCCCAAGCAGCTCAGGTCACTGATAAAGGTAAAGTCCATCAATGAGTCAAATTCTATTTGGTAGTGGTCTAATAAAATGTAACATATGAATTTATTGTTTTGAAAAATATTTTAATGATTTGTAATAAAAAAAAGTGCATGAAAATGATTTGTAAGTGTCAATAACTTGTTCTAAAAAAAGCCTAAGTAATGATTTGTAAAAAATTACCCTATGATTTGTAAAAAGTTACCTTAAATATTCAACTTTTATCCAAAAATTTATTGTTTTGAAAGACCTTTTAATTTTTTGTAATAAAAAAATAAATGAAAAGGTCTATTTGGAAAGGGTAGAAATTGCGTGAAACGCCAACTCAATCTAAAAATTGCGAGTGGTCGAATATGGTCACAAAGGTCAAATAGGTCGAATTATCCAATAAGAAAAAGTAAAAAGCCTAAGAACTTAACCGAAAAAAGAGTTGTACAAACACATTAAATCCCCAGGCACGCATATCTGGAAAAGATCGGATAATGATAATGTTCATTAAATAACAATCAATTAATTTTTTGTTTACCGTCTGTGATGACGGTAAACTCCCACCATAAAGGTGTTGTTCCCCACCGGCCTCATCACAAGCTTGTCCCCAATACGCAAACCATTCGAATCAACAAAGTAACGCCACATTCTCTTCAGGAACCCATCACCAAAACAATCAACCTTGAGTGTGCAGACCACGGGCTGCATGTTGGGTCCTATGAGAGTGACATCTGTTTTTCCCTCTACAAAGCCATTTGCTTCGCAAAATTTGTCACTTAAGGCCTGAGACAATAACGGAACAAAAGTCATTAATTGTAGGTTGAGAATACACCATGTATTCCAAACAAAAATTTCATGTTTGGTCGAATTTGGTCAAACTAGTCAAATACGTCGAATTGGGTCGAATTTGGTCAAAAAGGTCAAAAAGTTCAGATAATGATATTGTTCATTAAAAATGATATTTTAAAAGCATACCAGCTTCTCGGATGACTCCCGAAAGTGCGTTTCTTCCCACTTGCAAACAAAGATGTCATCATCATCATCTGTAACATCATCTGCATCTGATAATTGGATACATTACATTTAGAATTAGAAAGAATTCGGGGAGGGCGGGTAAAATATACCATGTTTCAAAGTCTTACCAGAATCATAATCAGGAATTCTTATTGGGTAGTCAACTTCTGAACCAAGTGTCGAAATCACAATGGCTTGGTATGCTGCCTCTGATAATTTTTTGAACAGAATATGCCAAAGATTTTGGCAGTGGTGGTCATAGAGAAAGTATCTCCATCCATTCTCGGCAGCGATTCGATGCTTGCCGTCATCTCCAAGAACAACTCGGACTGGATAGCACCCAATCCGAGTATATATATCCAATCTCTCCTCCCGTGGATGATAGCGAGAATGAATGACCTGTAAATCATGAAATCGAGATTAAAGCCAAGCATGCATGTGTTAGTTATATGCATTCAAATGAAATCTTACAGTGCCGGTATAAGCATCCCTTCTGATGACCACAACGAAATCTGATTGCGGCATTTTTATTCCCAGCAGCGTTGGAGAGTGTTCGTGAGGGTATAAAGAGAGGGAGTTGCAGACGAGAAAAGATGAAGAAGAAGAAGAAGAAGAAGACGAAGAAGAAGAAGAGAAGAAGAAGAAGATGAAGAAGAAGGGAATTTATGTGAAATTATGACTTTTCAATACTCATCTGACATAAATTGGCGTGGGACCCAAATAAAATTATTCCGTACAAAATTTCGTCTATATTTGACAAAATTTTGTCCAATTTTGTCTTTGTCGTATCTCTAATTTTGTACATTTTGGAGAAATACGGAACCGTACTACATTCCCAATGTTGACTGTAATTTGGTTGGACAAGTAGGACCACCCACTTACTCCCAAGAATATTGTAGTGGAAAAGTACTCTTATGGGGGGACCTTGTTTCTAAATTTTTTTTATTTTTTTATTTTTAGATTTTATTTCAAAATTTTATTTTAATATTTCGAAATATTATTATTTTTTGAATTTTTTTTATAATACCTTTATAATTGTTACAACTACCTCTATAATTATTCTGACTATAATTGTTACTCATATAGTTAAATCTCAATACCAACAGGTAAAGACTACCGCTACCGTTATTCTCTTAATTGGACTCCTACTGTTATCCTCTTAAGTTATTTCGAGATATTATTATTTTTTGAATTTTTTTATAATAAATTTATAATTGTTACAACTACCTCTATAATTATTTCGATTATAATTGTTACAGGTAAAGACTACCGCTACCGTTATCCTCTTAACTGGACTCTTACATCCACTACGGTCCGAACTTAGTTGTTAACACAAACCGGTAAAAGACTACCGCTAAAGTTGTGCTCTTAACTGGACTCCTACATCCACTACGGTCCGAACTTAGTGGTTAACACAAACATGTAAAGACTACCTCTACCGTTATCCTCTTAACTGGACTCTTACATCCACTACGGTCCGAACTTAGTTGTTAACACAAACCGGTAAAGACTAGCGCTAAAGTTGTCCTCTTAACTGGACTGCTACATCCACTACGGTCCGAACTTAGTTGTTAACACAAACATGTAAAGACTACCGCTACCGTTATCCTCTTAACTGGACTCCTACATCCACTACGGTCCGAACTTAGTTGTTAACACAAACCGGTAAAGACTAGCGCTAAAGTTGTCCTTTTAACTGGACTGCTACATCCACT